AATAACGCATCAAAATGTCGCAAGAAAGTGTATCAACCTCGAATAACGTGTAATGGGTGTGAAAGCCGAATTGCTGGGCCACGTTTCAAGTGTGTTGTGTGTCCTGGTTATGATCTGTGTAAAGTCTGTGAGGAGAAAGGACTTCACCCAGAACACGAGATGATTAAGATGCGTAAACCACAGATTGGTCGTAGCCACATGGAGGTATGTTTGTTTAAAGTGTTTATCATCTAAGCTAAAAGTATTTCCATTCTTCAAGCTGTTCGCTATGGTGGAATAATTTCCATAATATCCCACTACAAAGTAGACAGTAAATAGATGATATTGCATTCTTTAAACAGAGTGAATTTATTTATCTAACAGGGATTTACCTCCCGTCCTGGTCTCTGGCAATTCGTATCTGGTGGCTTACGACCTAAGATGAAATGGAACCGTGTATGTAGAGAACGACGGCAAGAACACACAGAAATGCGTTCTGAATATGATTCAGAAGCCACAGAAGTTGCTTCTGGGAATACAAATGAGGGAACCAACCCACAGCAGAAGCATATAAAACATACTGTTCATATGTCAGGAACGTTAAGTAAGTAGGCTGAACGTATACAATCCGACTCAGCCCTAACCATATCAGCCTCATCATTCGTCCTAGCTAATTATATCTTATATTCTAACATTGAAAGTAAATTTTATCTTTATTTATTTATTTATTTATAGCGATCCCAAAACAGAAAAGACTGGTGCAAAGAAAAGTGATTTCTAAAACATCAAATAATGATGGAATGGAGTACAGAGAAAGTAAAGCTAGTAAAAATAACCACCAGCGACATCGTTTAAACCAACGTGCAGGAAAACATTTCATATTGCAAAAACCGTTCGGATGTTGCAAGGACTGCATACCTGAAATGAACATTCTGTCAACTCAACTTAAAAGATTCCAACAAGAACGAAAAATGAAGCAACACAGGGCAACACCTTTCAAAAGTCACAAGTGTAATGACCCAAATATACTGCTCATAACGACTCCTTCGCTTTTCAAAAGAATCAATCATTTAGAAAAAGAAGGAATGATCAAGAGAAACTGTTCCACACTGACAAAACCAGTTAAAGAGCACGGATGTATTGGTCCCAAAACGTGTGTCTCCGCTGGTAAACGGTATAGAAGATTCCATCAAGCACAGAGAAAGATGTACAAAGCAAGATGTAATCCAATGGCAAAACAGTTGGGGGGTCATCGATGCAGTCGTAATAGTATAACACTCAAATCAGGTCGTTTCTCAGATGGTAAAAAGTTCAAACGATGCAGTCAGTCACAGAGCGTCAAAGGTCAACAAAAGCAACATCCTGGAAGAATTGTTGCACATATGGCTGCCGCAACGTTCAATGCACAGAAGAGACACTTATCCACCAATTCGTCTCCTGGAATGGAAAATAGTAAAGGTGTGTAACATCTATTGTCGTCATTAAAGTATGTGTTCCATGTCCTAATGTTACAAGTTATATAATTAATTTTATTTGTCTTTACAGGTTTTGATGTCGATGTACATCGCCGTGGTATGCGTAAACATTGTGGTAAGGGACAAAAAGGTAATGGTCCTGGTAATCAATGGGGAAAAGGTCCACGTGGTTATAGAGGGTCTGCTGGTCTTGGTGGTCAAGTCGGTAGATGTCAACCTACCAAAGGACACATCCAGGATCAAGCCGTTGCTAGTAAACACTAAAACACTAATACTACTGGTATTAAGAGAGATAACCCCCGAAAGATAGCATTACTGATAGAAAATTTAATCAATATTATTTTAATGAAAATATTTTTTGTGAATTGTCCAATTCGAGTCCTCTATTGTTCAATGCAACAACCCATATCTGTAAAAAAACATTCACACAATATAGTATATGATTCGGTATAACGAGTCTAACCAAACAACCAACCGAAATGCAATGACAATTTAAATGTACACTGCACTGATTGAAATGTTTGGTTTGTTAAACTTCAACAATTCAATATGGTCTGTTTGTCTGAACGGGACACGTCAACATTGTAGTACATTTTTATAGTTTTATATTTAAGAAAATGAACCAATAATACATTAGATAAAGTTGTCCTAGTTACATCAAACATAATTTATTCATCACATATTGTAGTTATTTCAGCAGAAATTATTATATTTATTCAAGTTATGATATTTCATAGTATTTTATATGTATCATATTTCTGACTCTCAACACTGGAATAGTTATTATCAGTATGGTATATATATTGTGTATTTTTACATATGCATGGGTATGGGAATTATTAAACTGTTGAAACTTACATTCTTTGTTCAGAGTCTTTGTATATCTCACACTGCATACGTAGTCAGTGCTAGGGTAGGCTGGAATCCTGCCATTCAGAGTGCCTTTTCCAGGGTACTAGTACCTTGGGAATCGATATGTAAATACACAAACGGCACGGAATTCTGGGTCATCAATATTGGCTTTCTCCCGAACTCCGCACAGTTCGATGCGCGTTACTTATCGTAAAGCGCAAAGGCCTCTGGGAAGGAGATCGGCTTTCTCCATGACTTCAGTACATTACCATGGGAACTCGCATGCGCAGACTGTCCCATACGTAAGACCTATCCACAACCTTCCTAACCGATTTACAAGTCTTTATCTGTACATTTGTAAAAGTCTCCCGATATTGCACGATTGACACGTGGCACGTGTTGGCGTCAAACGTTGACCATGTTCACACCCCCCCCGGGAGGGGGGCTCGGTATTCCAAGTCAGACCTGGTACCCATGCTGAAGTATAGCTTTTCAAAATAGCCTCTAAACACGTACTTATTTTTGTGAAATTATACCCCTTTTCAAGTGCAAAAACTTAAAATACCCTATATACATATTAAAATCATACTGTTTCCAAGTTGAAGTAATATGAATTCATGAGATTCCTTTTTTCACACTTTATTATAACACGGTACACGCGTATAGCATCAAATAACTAAATAACACCCCGTTTACCCTTGGCAAATGTAACATGTAAATGTTCACGTATACAAATGATCACAATATGCAACTTCCACCAGTAGTGGCGCTCTTCATCAAGCCACGTTCTTTACACTGTTTTGAGCGTTTGCAAATACGTCATCGTACAATTAATTTGCATTTAACAATTCACTGGTATTGCAATAATAGTAAATATCTGACAGTGTATCTAATAAATGATAGAGAACTGAAACCAATTCCATGTCATCTCGCTTCGTGTGCTAAATATATATTCTCATCTGTATACTCGTATTGTTCTTAGTAGAATATATTATTCCAGATGAGAATTAGACCCACTATTTACCAATTCACGCATAGAATCATTCAGCTTCAAATTACACAGTTCTCATCGAACCTACTTTTACTCAGTTTGGCAGGTTTGCAATTACTTGTATGTGCAATAATGTTCATTCTTACAATAAATTAACAAATCATTTCTGAAAAATTTCTGCCAGCCCGAACAAGCAATATTTCCATCTGCAATCATTTCTTTAAAATCTTATTATTGTTGGCACTGCCTTCCCGAGAAGCAACGAATGTGTGGTTAGGAGTTTCAAATGATAAGAACAGTCTCGTGACGCTGAGGTGGAAGATAAGATTACAAATAGCTGGTTGGTGATATAAAGTGTGTACTCTTTCAAGGATTAAAAAAACTCTCCACAATTGAAGATTTTCAAGCCATTGTTAACCCACCGAGATTATAACCCCAATATTCGCGGGAAATGTTTTCACTGTCAATCGACAGACAATTGATTAAAATTTGAGTTCGATCATGTCTCATCGTTTATAAGCCTATGCCTGATTTATAAGCGATGTATATCGCATAGACACAGTAAGACACGGTACCCAGTACTGGTCTGAGTCGTCTCATATGTGAAACACGTGTCTCAACAACTTTACCTTCAATGTATTCAAATAGTGCCAATTAGCAATGATTTGTGTCTTAACATGACTACAATACACATATACACATATTATCCGTAATCGTCTCAAGTTATAATGAAATAAAGTTTATTGTTATAATTTGAATACGCATTCAGAACTAAAAAATAACACTAGCATAATAATTACTGACATTCCTGACAACTTTCCCAAAATAATATTTTTTCGTTCAAAAATAATACTAGACGAGCTAACACAACCTGCAGGTGTACAAGAACGCGGTGGTTGTACTTCAAGTCTTTCTAGACTGTTTCTACAGTAAAACTGACGCTCCAAATAATTGAATATCACCAAACAGCATTTAAGAACCATGTACTATATAAAATAAATCGGATCGGTTATGATTTCAATGATTGATAATCTCATAAGAAGATCATTAAATATCCAGGTATGGCCCCGGTTTTTTGTTTGCCAGGGTGATTTTAATTTCAAATAGATTCCGTTATCCAAACGTTATCCAAATATATACATAAATTGGTTGCAGTAAAAACTGCTTCATTCACTTTTACTGATTGGCTGGTGGTAACCTGTGTACATTCACTTTTTCGCTGAATTTAAAGGGGAACCGCTCAATCCCAGGGATTGCACCAAAGAATCATGGGACACTATTGTTTATGTTGTTTACAATGTTAATCAAATCTTTTGTTATCCATTGTTATTTTAATCCAGAAAGTAAATTTGTTGTGAAATTAATCTTAACTGGAAGGTGCCCCTTTAAGGAGAAAAATGACTCGATGTACTATAATTAGAGTAGCAAGAAAATGTTCTTAAACTGTTTCTAAAACATTTCTCAGATATTATTCAGATTCATTCTTGTACATTTCTAAATCGATATGGCAGATTCATAATATTTTACGCTGAAATGTACACCGCAGTGGTGGTCAAGGTTAGATGGTATGTGACCCCTTCTTTTATACGTCGTTACTTCTTTATATAATACTTCTTACAAAAGTGCCACTTATTTAAGATCCTATGAAGAATTACCGGCCACTTATTCAGTCAGTTTATCGTGTTTCTTTTGGTAGTACAAGTTTAATGCGAGGTATTTATGGTTATCAAACATGTCAATATTAAAGTGGGGGAGTTGTCACCTGCGCATGCGTCAGATGGCCATAGCGTGTCTTTGTTAACAAATAAGCGTCTACACATGAGCCTTTGCGTTTTAGCGTGTGTTGTTATCATCGCTTGGGACTCAATTCCCGCGCGTGCTCAGGTGACGACCCTCCCGCTTACTTTATTCACTTGCTTTATTATTATTAAATAAATAAATAAATAAATAAATAAATAAATAAATAAATAAATAAATAAATAAATAAATAAATAAATAAATAAATAAATAAATAAATAAATAAATATAAGTTGTTTTGTCAAGAAGTAGTTTCAAAATATTAATTTATCATAATCTATGGCACTGATCCACAAGTTAGAGGTACGCCCTCTGGTGATAGCAGTTCATATTCAGATGACCCTCGTTTTCTTAATTTGGATTGTTTCTCGCTGTATTTCGGTCCAATCGATGCTAAATAATCCAGTTCCCTATAATCGGACGACACGGGCAATCCATTCCTGGGTACAACATCTAGTTTGTTATGCTTTGGCTTTTTGTATCTGAAAATAAAACGTTTATTGTATTCTTAAATAAATCATATCATCAATCAGATGATGCACGCCCTTTAATTAAAGTTTTTCTTGTTTTTGATAATTCAGCCATAATTCTTCATATATTGTAAAGAAGTTCTAGGTTCGACTAAAATAATCTCATTCTTAGACACAAAATATTGTCTCATAGTTTGCGCATTTGAGTGATATTCCTGTACATGTCCCTTTAATACGAAACATTGGACAGTACATTCTCTTGAATAGTACTTACAGTTTGAGAAGAAGGGAAGAGCAGATGACCGAGATAGATGAAGCAGCCATGACACCAGCAGCCATCCACGGCTCCAACATCACACATACCGGCATAAGTATACCTAAAATAACAATATTAGGATTATATAAAGTGTTTTCTTTTCAAAATGAGAGTAGTTTGTGTTCAGTAATAATATTTTTCTTTGAAATTACACAATTAGAAGCTGTGCAAATGTGTTGATGTTGCTTAAACACACTATTAATAATCATTGACATACAACACCAACTGCGACGATTTAGACCAGTTATACGACACACTGATCACAGTAAATAATAAAACATCCTACCTGCCGCAATGGGTATAGTTATTATATTGTAAATAATGGCAAATCCAAAATTAATTCGAATCCGTCGAACTGTACACTTTGATAAATCAATAGCCGCAACAACATAAAGTAGATCGTTCTAAAAAGCAAGTAATAATTTGAATAAGTTCTGGTGGGGTTAATTGACATAAAACAATATGAATAGAATACTTACGTGTTTAGTACATTAAAGCGGGAGGGTCGTCACCTGCGCACGCGCGGGGAATTGAATCCCAAGCGACGAAAACAACACACGCCAAAAACGCAAAGGCTCGTGGGTAGACGCTTCTTTGTAAACAGTGATGCGCTATGGCTATCTGACGCATGCGCAGGTGACGACTGCCCCGCTTTAATATATTATAATAGTCGAGATCAAATAAAAATAGAACGAGATAAATTATTACGCATAAAACAAAACAGAGTGTTACCTTGATAAGTACAACGTCAGCAGCCTCCACCGCAATGTCAGTCCCTGATCCTATTGCAATGCCTACATCGGCCTGTGCCAGAGCCGGTGAATCGTTGACTCCGTCACCAACCATGGCAACCGTGTGACCTTGAACCTGGAGTTCTTTAATTCGATTCACTTTCTCTGACGGAAGTACTTCGGCACATACATTGGTGATTCCAGACTGGTGAGTATATCAGGCATTGAGTCATTTTAAATATTACAAGCAGACATTATTATTACAATCATCGAAATATTAATATTTGCTTCTGAAGATTTTAAAAGTTTCTATTTTTTTTTTTAATTTGTGAACAAAGATCGTTACCGTGACTAGATTTAGAAACATACAGTGGGAGGAGCTGTTCCCAAATAACAAAACGTTTTCAGACACTCTAATTTCTAAACATCATTTTCTCAGTAATAAGTCAGTTATATGAGCAAATAGTATCCATTTAATTGCCACCTGACAGTATATGCATTAATTAAATAATTTTCCAGAATATGGCAGAAGAATTAAAATGTAAGTTCAATAGTCAAGAACCATAATAATAACAACAGAAACAAAGACAACCCCGCTGATAAAAACACAACAATTACAATTAGAATCAAAATCCTAGTTAAGGTAGGAAATAGTTTAATTTTGTGTTTACCTGCTTTGCAATTGCTGTGGCAGTTTTTGCATTGTCACCAGTAAGTAATATAACAGCTATGTCCATTCCATGTAAAATCCGCACAGCCAATGGGGCTTCCTCTTTTAGTGTGTCAGCAACAATTATCATCCCAATTAATTGTCCTGTGAAAAAAGTAATCAAACTACATGTATAGAGCAAACTAAAACTAAAAAGTAATTCGTCAATAAAAAACACACAAAAAAAACAAGGGAACTTTGTTTTACCTCTACATAACCAGACTTTTTAAAATGCTTTCATGGGGCTACATGTATTACGCCTGTCTATTAGGTGTGTTAACAATAAGTATGTCAATTTTGTTCGTACACATTCATATTCCAGTAAGTATGGCATTGTGGGTTTTACGAGTAATATGACAGTTTAAGATTCTATCTGAGCGTAAATCTCATTACCATTGATGGCCACTAACACTGCGGTTCGTCCCATATCTTCGTGTTCTGCCATTGCAGAATCCATCGATGACGTCACAGTCAGGCCATTTTGCCTCATCCAATCACGTTTACCGATTAAAACGTTGTATTCAATGACTTGAAACGAATCATCCGGCTTTGTGGCATCATCTGTGGTCAATCAGAAAATTACCATAATTTAAAACTTGTAGTTCAAGTAGTACATTTATACGTCATGGACTGGTAAAAGATCACATAGAAGAGAAAAGGATCATTCCGCATACCTGCTACAGGCTTCCCAGTATGTACAGTCTTCGTGTCTGGTGTTAGTTTATCAACAGCTTCCGAGAGTACGAGCATTGCATTGCTGAATGAACCACTGTCATCTTTTACAACTGATGTCAATAATTCCTCTATTCCACTGACTTTACATGTCAGTCCATATCCTGGCACTGATTCAAAATGGTTACATCTTCCAAGTTGTTCGCTTTGTAACACCTGTATAAAACAATAATAAATATGTAGTAGTTTGCAGAAGTGTTAATGGTAATTAAAGTTTATAATAAAGCGATGAAGTGCAGCTGCAACATGGAGGAATGGAGGTTTTTCTCATGTCTATTGTTTTTGTTGAATTGTATTCGTGCAATTGACAAACCAGGCAAGGTTGTTAAAGGGCGGCAGTCGTCGTGCCGCGTCCTGTTCGATATGGGACTCATAGTGACGTATACAACGCGTGTAAAACACATTGTTTATTTACATGAAATTCGAACACGCGCTTTAAAGTGAACAACATTACGTATATCACAATTCCACATCGTCCCTGTGGCATGATTTATTGAACTTGTGATACCACGTAAATACGACGAATCTGCACGAACCAGCGACCACTTACCGTTTTCGCATATCGTGTTATGGCAATTCCATATGGATGTTCACTGTGGGATTCGGCGGTACCGGCAATGGCAAGAAATTTATGAGCAGTGTAACCAGTGGTGCCGAAGAGGGCATTGGTCACAACTCGTGGAGTCCCCTGCGTGATAGTCCCTGTTTTATCAAAAACAACCACGTCAACCTGAAAGATGTAAACAACAATCAACCCAATCAGTTTTTAAAATTGTAGATATATTGCATTACCAATATAGTGAACTCATGGAGATTGATTTATCTTTTAAGAACTTTAATTTATGCAAGTTAATGAGAAGAGAATGTTTGCTGTCTTTTTATTAGACGAAAAAGGATGTTTGCCACTTCCCTAAAATTAGATTTGGGGAAGCATCAATAATTCGTTATTCGATTTTCATACTTTAGATGGGGTCTTGATGGCTAGAAATTTAGCTGTATTCCGTAGTTTTGGAATGAATAAAAGTGGAGTTGTAACGAACTAAAGATAATATACTATAGAGTAACCTGAAGGGGGCCGGGATGCTAATGATGACGTAAACGTGGGCAAATTTCAACTTAGTTGACTGATCTCGATAGGCACTGGTTGGATGGGCAGTTATTTAAAGTGTCTTTTCAAACAAAGATAGTTAAAGTATATTTTGGAAGTTTGAATAGTTGGACTGCAAGACTACTAGTTGCTGGTAGTATCAGTAAAACTGGGAATAAATTATCCCATCACTAGACTCTCTGTTTACTGACTGTACAATGTTCGTCGTTGGAAGATCAGCAAATTTTCAACACACTATCTAGTATGTATTAACCACAAAATACGTTAGAAAATGGTAGTGGTCTCGATTTTGAGAGCTACTTAAATGCGTGGACATTCCTAGTTGCGGGAGCCAGTGACTTGATCCAATATAAAACTTTATAGGTTTTCGGTCAAAATTAAGAAACATAGTGAGCTGTGATGGTCAAAGAGGGTAAACTTGCCTTTTGCGTCACTTCCAATGGTTCACCGCCTTTGATCAGTATCCCATTTACAGCTCCGACACCAGTACCAACCATGACGGCTGTGGGTGTGGCCAGACCCAAAGCGCAGGGACACGCAATACACAATACAGAGATTGCACAACTGAAAGCAAGTTGCAGTATTGCTGCGTGTTCGCTTAACTGAGGTTCTGAAGACTTGAAATAGAATTAAAGAAATAAGAAAACAAAAACATTTATATAGGTCAATGCTCTCACCTATGTCTTAGTAACATACAAAATATTAAAAGTCAGGTGTTTATTATGTAACATGACACATAGAAGGTATGTTCCTTACTTCAGTTTGGCTAGTGCAGTGATTTAGATAATTCTCAAAATATCCACTATAACCCAGGATGAAATGTATCACCAACGTCAGCACCGATAACACAATAATTATAGGTACAAAATATCCGGCTATTTTGTCAGCCAGGCGTTGAATTGGAGCCTGAAATAAAAAAACAGTGTAAAGGTAAGCATGATAATAGCTACCGTGACGTCTGGTTCGATATGACATACTAAACTGATGGTCAGTTGTAGCGACATTATCCAAGTCATGTTCCAAGTGTGGCCGGTGTGCATTCCAGCCCCTGTCTATATATGCATATAATCGTATTGTACTATATTGGTTCCCATCAGTTTAAAGCGGGAGAGTCGTCACCTCCGCATGCATCAGGTAGCCGGAGCGTGTCAGTGTTTACACACAAGCGTCTATCCATTTTTTCTTTTCGCGTGTGTTGTTATCGTCGCTTGGGACTCAATTTGCGCGTGCGTGCGTGCGTACACATTCATACCTTTGATGTCTGTGCCTCTTCTACCAGTCTAACAATCTGCGATAATGTAGTGTCAGATCCAACACGAGTTGCTTGTATGAGAATATTACCGTGTTGATTGATGGTTCCGCCAACTACATGATCACCTGAAAACCATTAATGAAATTAGAAGTCAACTGTTAAACTATTAACAAATAATATTTTGCATCTAAATATAAGTAAGATAGTACATTATATATTAATGTCATTAAAAATTAAAATTTTAAATAATTTAACGAAGATATTGGCTTCTATATCATTATATTCACTGGAATGAATTTCCAGTTCCCATCCACATTATGTGCGATATTTCTATAGCGACGACACGCGGGCCAGATAACGTTTGTTTAGGAACCTCGTAAACCCAAGTTATTTATATATCTTTACCTCCTTGTGTTTAATATTTTACTGCCACGACGGACGGCGTACGAGATGCTTTAATTGACATACAATCTGCAACGCGAAACAATCCTCTAAAGACATTCAATTCCGCCAATAGATCTGCCAGAATGTATTTTCTGATGCTAATATATTATTGCATTTTTCGGTAATAATAATAATAATCTTTATTGTTATCGTACCTCTATGGGACTTTGATTATAGAATACAATAAAAGTATAGCAATAAAAAAATGAATGAGACTAAAAGAGTATAAAACAAAGTTTTTAATAAAATATAATAAATTAGAGTAAATGTTTTTATTTATTTTGAGGCAGCTGGTAGTACTTTTTTCATGTTTTTCTCTCGGATTTTAAAACAATCATGCATGTACTATTGAGGAACTGATTTGTTACAACCATTGTTTAGTATTGCAACTATTTTTTCTTTGTCAGGAAGTTTGGGAGGGAGCAGCAAATTTTTGAGAAGCTCATTTTGGTAATATCTTATAGCATTGTCGAGGGGGGTTTATTCATTACATTATGATAAATTTTTATAACGTTAAAAGCTGATTATCATTCCATTAATGCTTAAAAATGATTACGTTCATATTAATTACATTAATAGTTGTTACATACGCCTGTGATTAAAAAAATACCTTGTTTCTTATTGACCGGCATGGACTCCCCAGTTATAATGGACTCGTCGACCATTGATATCCCATCATACACTACTCCGTCCACTGGAATCTTAGTTCCCGGAAATATTTTTAGTATGTCTCCTTTGTGCAACAATTCCACGCTGATTTCATCTTCGCTGATTGGATGACCTTCGTCGTCGAATCGAACCAATATGGCTTCGCTACATTGAAGTGAGATTAGCTGTGCTAATGCAGAGGATGTCTTTGCCTGACACGTAAAAAAACTGTATTATAACATTTCTGTTGATTCTCATCTCGGTGTATTAACTGAAAGACTCAATATTGCAGTATTGATTTTTATATTTTATGTTGATACACGCCATAATATGTGTTTTGAATTAAAGGTGTGTACTATAAATTCAAAGAGCATGCGTCACCCAGAGTGTACATCGACAATCAATATCGAATACAATACAAATATTACAACTTAGACACGAGGTGTGCCCGATGGTTTGACTTTTTAATTAGATAAACCAGATTGAGATAAGATGCCAAACCCCTTGAAAGTTGACACTTCCATTGAAAACATGTACGAATGCATGTGTCACCGGAAGAAGTCACTTTTTTGGTTAAAAAAAAAGAGTTCTGTAATTTCAGCATTCGTTATCGGAAATATTGGCATCATTCCTAAAACGCGTTGTTTTAGTCATTAAAATAAGTATGAACTATAGTTCTAAGTAGGGGGTATACATTTTTTTGTATGCTGCTATCTGGAAAGGGGTAGGGGTCAGAACGTGACCCTAACGTTTGTTCAGGATAGTTCCCCTGCCCTGGTACAATCCACCACGATCGCCCATCATCGTTTGCGGGTGCAATCTCAAATACAAGTATCTTATATTTTAACGTATCAGTGATTTGACTGGACATACACAACTAATCTGACCACTGAAGCTATATTTAGAATACACATGGCCAAAACAAAAACTGATAGCACAAGCTCATGGATTCAACACTGAGTGTACAAGTCATGATAATAGAATGTAATTTTCAAATGTTGCTTTTACGCAATGTACAGTATATGAACAAAATGGCGGCTTTAGAATGACCTACCTTTGCTTTGTACTCCAACCATTTGCCAAGACTTACAAACATAATTAGCATAGGAGGTGTGTCGAAGAATGTCATGGGGCTTACGTGTATCCCATGTTCAGCATCAATCACCATAGCGATGATAACGATGACGACGGAGTACAGATACGCTACAGTAGTTGCCATGGCAATGAGGACGTCCATGTTAGCCGATTTGTGCCGGAGGGCTTTGAATGCACCCACATAGAAATAACGGCCACCAAGGAACTATGATTAGATCAACATTTAAAGATTAAAGAAGGTTAACAGAGATTATTCACGAAAAAGTATTTGGATTAGTTTTCTTTATCGCCTGCAATGCTAAATACGTACATTTGGTATTTTCAGGAATTTATAACTTGATATCTGAAAAATCATGACTGCGAATCGTTTAACGGGTGTTATTTTTACTGAAGGTAGCTGGGATAAAATCAAAACAAAATCTGCTTTGGATATGCCCTTAACCTTCTGCCCATCCTGTAACGCTCCCTTCTCCAGTAAAAAATGTATGGTCCAACCCGAAACTGAATCAATGTGAATGTCATTTGCGATATTTGAAAAATAAACACTGAAGAGTAGAATTATCGAAATATCTGAGTGTCTTCCATTATATACGTTTGTTTTTATCATTTACTACTAAACAAGTGATTTTCTCATGAGCCAAGCTGGTAAATTCGGAAATATTTCAGATATATCGATATGTAATTATAATAATCGCAACGGTATATGTGATAAACTGGTGTAATATGAAGTTCATATAAACATTATGATCTTCAGATCGATATTGATATTCACAAGGAACGAAAATTTAATGTGAAAAAAAAACATTGTTCTAGTACAACACCGATAGTATAAAGATGCGATAATAAACTATGTAAAGGCGCATGCGCCTACATTTACGTGTACGTGCTAATATTTAAAATACGGTACAGAACATTTGTAATTTCAGTTCATTAACACTGTTTATCATTTCTCATAAACCACTGTACGTATCCACATACAATATTGTAGAGGATAATTCCACCGAAAACTTACCTGAACGGGTGTGCACAATAAAAACAACAATAAATTCTCTATGGAAACTCCGGGAAGTAAACAACATCTATTTACATCTGGGTGGTTCTTGTAATATAAGAAGAATCCCAAGTTTACTGATATCGTAGGAATACCAAATATCAGTGATATCAAAAATGACGTGCGCCATCTGAAACGCAAAGTCGTCGTGGCTTAGAATACGTGACGTGACATAACATAACATGAGTAATGTTTGAACACTTACTAATATTGAATAATAATAGTGAAATAAACACACTTAGAGGTATCTAAATTTAATCTTTTAAAAGCAAACCATTTTAATACCTCTCCAAGCATGTTGTAATGTTATTGTAATTCAAATGCATATGACAGCAGCGTACATGAGTACGTGTATACTGTAGTTGAACCACGATGGTTGGAACTTACTGATGCTGGACGATCATGTACGAGACGAACATAGCTCTGGACTCGATTATGTGTCAAATCGAAAGCAAGAATGCGAGAATATTCTAAGAACATCCTGAATAATACATTTACAGTATAGATTAAATCGCACCGCGTTCTGTTTGATATGGGACTATAGCGACGTATACAGCGTGTGTAAAATACTTGTTTGGTTAACATGAAATTCGAACACGCGTGACGACTGACATTATTTCTAGCCTTACGTGTTAATCACTCCCTTACGTCCACCTCGTAGTATGCCTTGTTTACGCCTGCTTAGATACATCATGGAAGGTAGTGGATATATATTGATATAATTATCATGGGTTTTGACAGTGGCGGATCCAGCAAAATGTATTGGGGGGTCAAAGCTTCGCTTAAAATTTACGGAGCGTACATCGCAGAGAAGCTATGCGTAATCCAGATCATATGAACGATTGCCTGGACTAAATAGCAGGGTAACTACAGGCAGTGGATTATAAAAACCAGGATAAAGAAAAATAATAATAAAACAAAATTTAATATTACTTCAACAGCATAATTAAGAATTATCACAAAACTGACACATTCTTCCTCAGAATGTTAATAAACAAATTAATAAATAATTATCACAATTATCACTGCCTGAAATCAAATAATTAATAACAAAATTAATAACATTATGACTTTTTAACATGATCACAAACATTATGATGTCACAGCTATTTTAACATGACCACAAATATAAACTGTGATATTATAGTTACTTATATTATACATGTTATATAATGGCTTTGAACAGGTTTTTAAAATAATAAATGTACAAGTAAATATATAAATAAAAAATAAATAAAAATAAAGTCAATAAATACACTTTCAAAATAAAACAAAAAATGCACTAATATAGTCATACTCATCTTCTACTTTAACATGAAAGTATTTGTAACAAAAATATAATGTTTTAGATGTCTCTTGAAAATCTATTTTAGCATGATTATACTGATAATAATTTATCATTTTTTTTTCGTCATGCGTTTGGGGGGCATGCCCTCTGGATCCGCCACTAGGTTTTGACAAGCAAAATGCTTCGATATATAAGTAATGAGAATTAACTAATATGCTATTATCTCTATTACTGCTTTAAATAGTTGTCATTAATATTTTTTTCAATGAGAACACATGTAAAAATATTTATAAGCGCTGTGATACGCGAATGAATACAGTAATTCTATTTATATGTCATTACATCCATACAGTTACATCAATGCCATTGCAACATTATAATTTGTCAGATTTTGAGAACTACTTTCTGTAAAAATGCATCGACTACGGCTATCAACATAATCATATTCATAGCAATTAAATGTATTTCCTAGAGCATAATTGAGCATAAAAAATAAGTATATTTTCTATTTTTAAACCAGTATTTTCTGTAAATATGTACAATATCGAATAGACTCACTTACTTTCTAATCTCTTCTGCATAATCTAGATTTGCAATTTTATTTTGTGGATCGTCAGGTGCAACTGACACTTCGAATCCCGCATCCTGCAAGTGACAAAAAAAGACTTTTAGAACATGATATATATATATATATATATATATATATATATATGTATCATATCATATATATATATATCATCATATATATGTATCGGTCCACAACATGTTACCCCCGGGAGGACGTTATATCCAGAAGAAGCTGAATACGAGGAATGTATCAGACTTAAAACCCATCGCTCCAATCTATAATTAGGAAATATTTGTAACGTGATGAGGGAACTACCCTATTTTCGAATGGAATATGCTATACAAGTCCGAGAAAGTTTATTGTAAATGCAGTACACATGAATGTTGATGTTTCGGAAATTGTACCCATTGTTCTCAACAAATGTGCTTACTGCAATCGTGGCAGGTGAACCCTACACGCAAGATCATGGCACAAAAATTTATATAGACCAATAGTCAATGACCGACATCGTGTCCCAGATTGGTCAATGGTCAGTGTGACAAGCCTAGACTTCGTGACATCTTCTTAGCATGGTTATATCTTGTCAGTTGTTGATCTTTGATGTACCGTGATCTATGTAAAAGGCAATTTATGATAACAGAGATTTTTGATTTGAGAAACGTGGCCGTTGTTGAAAAATACATGTACATATGCTCAGTTTGGTGTGTGTGGGGGGGGGGGTGTTATTCGATACACTACCTCGACAATTTCAACGATATCCCGAGGTCCAATGGCATCAGCGTCATAGGCAACTTTAGCGCTGCTTGTTGCCAGGGCGACAGATGCATACTTAATGCCCGCTCTCTTCATCAGCGTGGTTTCTATGGCATGCACACATGACGAACACGTCATTCCACGCACCTATTAAATTACAATATGATATCGGATTAGTAGATGTCGCTTAAGTAGAAATTGAGTCAATTGTAATAAAAAAATAAAATCTTATTTTTCACATCTCAATCTCATATATAAATAAAAATATAACTAATTAAGACAATATACGTTGTATGTTCCCTTATTCCATATAAATTATCTTGACACTTGAATATTATCATGTGACAATCTCCAAACGCTTCAAAACCTAGTGCTTTGGAGTATTGACAATATATTTTCGAAGATTATCAAAAACTAAGTTATTAATGGCCACGATTTAATATGTTCGAAACTTAATGGCCATGTTTCCAGCTGTGTCACAGAAGCTGTACACATATTGCCTCTCAAAAATAAATATACATATATCGAACTCGGTATGCAAATGAGTGGAACGCGAACGTAAACTTGATTTATTCAATTCGCATAGTAAGTTTATTTTGTTCCTCGAGGGCTTAGAAACAATGAAAATCACGGCACTTGATTAATATTTCAAATTATTCTGAGTCATTCGTGAGATACCTTATAATAATTAAACATTTTTATGGCTTACAGTGAGATGGAGAACGGCACCGCCATCGTCTTTATTAATACCTTCAGACGTCTGCGTCATCGTGACGTCATTCACTTACTCTTTGCACTGTATGAAATATTTGGCAGTAGTGTGATTGTTGCCAGGACCACGCGACTTGATGTAACAGCAATACGTAACCCAGACACAGCGAGAACTTTGATAATCTTGAAATGAACAAATACAATTGATCAGATGTCCATATTGAATTATTACTTACATAAGTCATTCAGTTACAAAATAGAGGGGGGTGCTCAATTTTCAAAAGGAATTATTGGACGGTGTGTGTTTTGAGAGATGGCATATATTTCAAATTAAAGCACTGTGTGTACATTCAGTAAGAATAGGTCGCCATTAAATGAGCTAACGTTGAATTCTCATTGTGTGGTCTGCAGAAAACATCTCACTGGTCCCTGCATAATAAGAGTTTGGATTTATGCGCATACGCACATGCGACAAGAGTCTATGCATCAACTTCCAGAGTGTTTGAACGAAATTTGGCTCAGCTTTCGAAGTCCAATTCATGATACTACGTCCCAGTTGTAGGCAATTGACATTTTCTGCAGATATTAAGTTTCTAGATTACTCCCGGCGAATTACCTGAATCCATGCTATTTAAAATTTCCCCGGAGATTACCATAATCCAAGCTAATCTCTGCTAGCCAATCTATGCAGTAATGGAATTTCTGATTTGTGTTGTCATCACGTCTGACATCATGTGTGGGTGGGAATGCGTTATGCTAGTATTTTAGTCTGTGTATGCATTATGGAAATATGTAAAATATGGAATCAACTTGTGAAAAAACACGTTTAGTTGACTAAATATTTCATTTTTCCTTAGGAATCACTTCGTAGTAGTAATAGTAACTCATTAAAAGCGTTTAATGGAACACAGGTAATTTTCAGATACTTAAGTGTTAATTTAAATTCGAAGATTTATTGTGGTGAAATTTAAAATCCATTTCAAAAAGGGTGAATTTCCATTATTTATCAGAGTGGCCTCGGGTTGTACATTAGGAAAATAGTTTTAAAATAAGCCACTATGACCCTTGCTACGTACATTCAGATTTCGGCCATCTGAACAAATCAATCCTTAAGCTACATGTAACTAGTGAGTTCTGATGTATTGACTGTAATATTTACGATGTCAATAATATTAAGGAAAGGGCGCGACGAAACAGTACTCGTGTTTCAGCTCGATTGTTGCGAGTCATTAGTAATATGAAAATTGAAAATAATAATCATTTGGTGACAATTCATCCGTGTTTTCAATCCAGTCGTAGGAAATGAACACATTCTACATGAAATCTATCAAAAGAGAGTAATTTATTTCGTGCTGACAGCTCATTAAACTTGTACAGTCAGTGCAGGCAGCGTGGGAGAAATCACTCACATTTTATGTGACATTTCGTTTTTATTTAGCTCCATGATTCTCTAACCCCTCCCACCCTCTGTCTCGAAACTCACATCAGTGCGCATTATGAATGAATTGTTTACATTGGTAATTAGGATTGAAATTCATTACGTGCCATGATATCAACATATATACTAAAGATAAAGAAAACAAAACACAAGGGGTGAATAATGTACATTATTTAAAAGTCGGGACACACAATTGCTGTCGCCATTGTCGTCAATATCCACCCCCCCCCATTAATCTCTTTACAACAAGTGCGATAGGACGAAATACGTATAACCAACCTTGATTTAAACGGCACGTTGTTCACCTTGATTTGTCCGTGACAGGGGGACTATGAGTTGTCTACAAACACAGGTACGTATCTTACCATATGGCGTGCATGACGCGTTTAGACACGACTGTAATTCCAAGACTGACTGCAGAAAGTGTGTATGACGTGACGTCACCAAGTCGGATTATTGCAAATATCAGATAGTATACCCAAACGAAGTACGTTACAAGTGACCACGGTTACTAAAAAAGATAACCGTGAATTGACGAACTGACTGGCCTTGATGTTTATCGACGCCTTTAGTTCCGAGAGACGTTCGACAGTGCACGTATCCACCAACCCACGTCTTTCTTCGGATTTATCACGTGACCATATACTTCTATTACCCGAATCCACGATAATCTGTGTAGCTACTAGTCACTATCATTTGTAGTAATTGGGTTCCTGGGACCAATCCATCACCCCCGCGTCTAGTGATGTGTTAGATTACCCATTCGTTTCAGTTTTGACACGTGATAGCTATGTATATGAGCAAGTCGAAAGTTTTAGTGCATCACTAAAGTGCTGTGTTTAAGTCAAATATCATGTGATTGTGCAGGCCTTCTTGTTCTTGTATCCAGGCCATCGCATAATCATCCTCCGGAGGGCTTCGAATTATATTGTAAATATAAATGCTTTAAGAGAAACCACGATGTTTACGGTGTGTTCATGTATGGACGCAATTGTCATGTATAACAAGCTTATTAATCAAATTACTAGTTGTATCGTATATATTTATTTTTACGATAAATTTTAAATATCTATAATATTCGCATGCTTGCCACTTACAAATTATCTGTATATTACATTCTGTCATATTCGATTATCAATAATGATACAGTCACGATTTTGTTTAAATATCAATGAGCAACTATAAACTGTGTCTACATTCATATTTCGTGTGTATACAAATTGCACGTGTTAAAGCGCGGTGGTCGTCGCGCAGGGCGTGTTTGAATTTTATGTAAATAAACTATGTATTGTACACGCGTTGTATACGGCGCTATGAGTCCCATGTGGAACAGGAAGCGGCGCGACGACTACCGCCCTTTAATACACATTCCGATCAGGTGTGGTTTATCATAACCTAACATATGGTGCAATAAACTGCGCAGTCTCCATAGGTTTCATGTTACAGTTACGTACTATCGGCATTGTCACGTCGAACGATTACTATGATGTTATTTTGTATGGTGTTATTTCAGTTTGAACCGACGAGTAGACAAAAAACATGCAAATATTCAAAAACATCACAATGTTTCATCAAATCTCAGTGCAATATTAATCTTGGCTTCCATGTAATGTGTTTTGTCGTAGTCGACAGTTCAATAAACGAATTAATTTCCAATAATTACCAATGAGGGCGACATATACATTTTAATTATATTTATATGGAACGCTCTTCGTCCATGCATCATACGTACTATGTGATGTAACTCAAAACGAACGAGAATTGAATTTTATGTTCTATTATTCTTTGTTATCGTTGAAAAAAACATTATTATATTAATAAATGTACGTTTGATGGTGTCTGTGCAAGTGATCCATATCTTGCCATATTTCTATAATATACTATTTTAACCCTGTGTTAGATACTAGTTTAAAGTGGACATCCAGAATAGATAAAAAATGCGTTACTTTATTAAATAGAAACATTAATAGCTATTTGTATATTAAATTACAATGAACTGTACGGAACAATAACTTCAATTTACCATGAAAACAACAGTACAATAAAACCTCATTCTGTTCGGAAACAGTTTTTTACCGTGTAAAAATGTAAATTAACCTGTAGTTGCCTAAACTCAAACGCTAAATCAAGTTACGATAAGTCAACCGACGTGCGGCATGATGTGATAAACCATCTTTATATTAACGCACTTTCCTCTACGCTTGATTAAAAAAAATACTAATACTAGTAGCAGATTTTAAATTTGTACAAAAGTAAACCACACTTTTCAAATCACGTACGTTAGTCGCAGATGCGAGTTTATCACAAAACAGGTGATAGATTCTATATACCGTAGTGCCATAATCATTTCTTTGTCTCCTGGTGGAGAATATGGCCAGGATTTGGTTTCCGTAATCGCAGCTTTTTCCAGGGTAGGGTGATGCTCAACCCCCAACCTGGAGGATCAGTTGAACTTTATTTCGTCTACTCTCTACCCGTTGACCAATCCGGCTTGGTTAAACCTGTCATAGGATCTATCCCCCACCGACACAGCTCGTAGGGTCACCGAGAGGAGCAAGCCCCCCCCCCCACCACCACGGCAAGGTAACAGTTCAGATAGGAGTATACCGTAGTGTATTCTAATTTCTACATTTATTATGTTTTATACAAGCCATATTGCTATATTTGGCCTTTCCAAACAAAATTACTTCCACGTACGCAGTTCATCGTCCGCTCAATCTCCACAAATATGTGGAAGCATTTTGCTGAAACATTTACATTGAAATTTCAGGACGACAAACCATGAATGCGCCAACATTATTTTCAAAATATAAAATCAGCGGCGCTGCCACAGAGGGCGCTATCCACAAATTACGATCGACATACATTTAATTAATACGCAATGACTAAGAGAAGTAGTTCAAATCATAGTTTAAGAGTATTTGCCAGTATTGGTAAGATTTTTTTCTGTCATACACTTATTCCTCTTATACACAAGTTGAACTTTTTTCCCCCCAAAAAATTCATATCACAGAGTCATGAATATGCAAACTGAAACATGTTAAATGGAAATCAGTAAATGAACTCAACAATTTAATTGGTCCATATTGTAAATTATTTCCAAGTCTAAATTTAACGCTTACATAAATGACTGGGGTGCGTCTGTGGTCAAAATAAGTTCTATTTAAATGGTGTATGTGCGCTTTAATTGGAAACACTACCATTTTGTTATCACCTTATTTATTCATTGTTCTTCAATATAAAACAAACAAAAATAAAACACTTCAATCCAAAAATCTGCCACATTTAGGGTTGTTTATTGGACAGATTGTCTTTTTTATATTTGTCATCTTTAGACACTTTGGCTAATGTTCCAGCAACAATTCCACAAAGAATGATTAAACCAAGTCGTTTATTAGACTGAAATTTCTTCCAGCAGTCGTCACCATTATTAATGTCAAGCGTGGCTATCTGAGTCCCCAAGTGAGCCATTGTGAGGCCGACCGCAGCATAATACGGCAAAGTCTGTTCCGTCATAATCCCAGTGACTGTTAACCCTCCCACAAAGACAGAAGCAAACCCTGCCAACCATGGTTTGGTTTTCTCACCGAACAACAACGCCGTTGATTTTACACCAATCAAAACATCATCATCTTTGTCTTGATGTGCGTAAACCGTGTCATAAAAAAGAGTCCATGCAATACATGAAATATACAAAGGTAAAACAACGCTCCAATCACAGCTGCCGCGAATAGCAGCCCAACCCAACAAGGCTCCCCAGTTGAAAGTCAATCCCAGGAATGCCTGGGGCCAGAATGTGACTCGTTTCATTAATGGGTAAGATGCAACTAGAACCAGTGATGAAGCACCCAGCACTATGCTGTAGTTGTTTAACTGAAGGAGGATAGAGAGTCCAACTGACAGCTGCAATGCTAGGAATGCCAGAGCCTGGTACATGGAGACATCACCTGCTGCGATTGGTCTATCCTGAGTACGTGTAACAGCCTTATCGAAGTCTCTATCCCACATATCATTAATGGTACACCCAGCGCCTCGCATCACCCACGCACCTAACCCGAACAGTGCCAATGTGTAGAAATCTGGGAGACTTCCAGGTTGAGCGGCTAAGCTGATGCTCCACGTACACGGCAAGTAGAGCAACCACGTTCCAATCGGTTTATCAGCTCGCATTAATTTGAGATATGGTTGGATCGTTGAGGGCGCTGCATTCACAACATCAGCAGGTTTTAAACTGAGATGACGCGACTGAATGAAAGCGAATTTGTTATGATGCATTGTTTTACTCCATCTGAGTGTACGCATGTAACTATGTAGAAATACGCTTGCCTGATTTCTCTCATGATGGATTGGTAACAGATCCTGTCGGCGATGACTTTCAATACTATTAAACTGCAAAGAAGTAGGATTTACTGCTCCTAAAATTCCCCTTTGAAATGGGAGAACTCTCAAACTATTATGTAACTTCCACATATTTTTTTTTATTTAATTCTCAATACTTAGATGTGTTCATCATGGAAATCTGTAATCAGAAAAATAAATTACTTAAAGAATCTCTCAATACAGACAACACAATTTAAATTTGAGTAGAAAGAATTACAGAGATATGAAAACACAGCTTGAGATGCTGAAAGAAAATATGAAAGAAAATAAAAATACTGTCAAAGTTTAGGAATAATGGCTTTCCAGTGTACAGGTGGTATCGTTTGTTGTTTCTCAGGTTATGCACCACAAAAAAGGTCATTCATAAGAAAACATCTTGAGAAAAAATGATAAGACGAGATGAATAAAAAGAATATAGCTCCAAACATGTGTTTCGAATAGGTAATTGTAACTTGTCATCTTGAAACACAAGTTTATGCCAAAGTCTTATCCATGGTTGTGTTGAATTTTTAGTAAATCATTAAACTGCTCTTCTGCTATCACCTGTTGCTACCTGCCAAGTCACGTGTATTATGCAAGGGTCACCTGTATTCGGATGCAGAAAATCACTTGCATTTTATAAAAGTGAACAATATTTCAGTGAAATGTACAACTTCAAGTTTGC